GTCCTATCAATCAATGTTAATCTGATTATTTAATTTACACCTTTTCATCACAGTAAGTATTTAGAATTAAAAGCTAGACAGGTGTAATTTTTCTTTCATCTCTTAGCATCCGTATACAAATATGAAACAATATTCAACATGCTGCATTCATGGCAGAACTTGTGAAGGTCTAGCTGTAATCTTAAAAATGATCTCGTAACCCCACACCCCAAAAGGGAAACAGAGGAAAAGAATTCTTAGGTAAGTATGTGACATGTCCAAGGCCTTATAGCAAATATTAGAAATGGGAAAGAGACCCCGATTTTATCACCTCATATTTGTCCTGTTATTCTATTGAAACAAGTTATCTCTCAAGGTTTACCCACACATGATGGGCCACTTTGAGTTAAGCGAATTAGACTAAAGGGAGGATTTATTATACTCCTATTTAATTCTTTTCTCCACCTAAAAAATAGATTAGAAAAGCATTTAAATATATGAACTGGTGAAGCTCTTGGGCTACATTACTATTAGGATTCCTATTGTCATGTCTTTGGATCTTTAATAAAAACTTTAAAGTATTTCCACACTGACTCGTAAAGTCTTATTGCTTACTAATAATTTTATACTGGAATTTGATTAATACACATAAAGTTTGTTTGGTGAATGTACACTGTGATCTTCAGTCTTTCAGAAAATCATATCCCTGTCGCTTCTATTTGTTCCAAAAAGTCACATTTTGAAGCCAATGAACTTCAAATAGATGTGCAAAGAACACACATGCTAAATTTTGAAATGGGTTAGTTTAAGAGTGACAAATTTTATCAGAACATTTGATAAATAGTATTAAATATACACACAAAACCACTAAAGGGTCCACCATATTTTTAGCTAATAATACGATATTCAATGTTATTTATGAGGAAAAGAGAAACAGCTTATTGGTGAGTACCAAATTAATACGTTTTTGCTGCTAATTTTATTTTTTCCCCTAAGATAGAATGACTCATTATTAACAGAAATTAAAAATTACTCCTCCATTTAAATTCTGCACAAAATATCAAATCATATTAAATAAGACAATAATTTTCAAATTTTCAGAAAATAAGACTGAAATACTAAATGGAGATTAAGTTATAGAATTATTCTAATGATCTTGTAACTACAAACATTCTAACAACTTTACTGGAACTTGTTTCTAATTTTAATTGCTGTGAAGTAGAATTTTGTCCTATTTTTCTTCTTATTTTAAATTTGTTTAACCCAATTTCTCATTAATTGAAAAAAAAGTTGGCTTGGCAGGAAAAATACCAATGGACATAAACCAGTAAAACACACATGCGATCATTGTTGATAACAAGTTTGGTCAACAAGTCCATTGGTGAGTGGGAAGAATAGCAGTAAGAATTCTTATTGAACCATGAGAAACCTCATAACACAGATGTACCGGGAGGACATTATGCTGAGTGAAATTAGTCAATCGCAAAACGGCAAATATTGCATGAGACCGCTATAAACTATCCGTAAAAAGTGTTCATGCGAAAAGAAGCATTCTTTGAAGGCTATCAGGGTGGGAGAGAGGGAGAGAAGGAGATATAATTCACTGGTGAAAGGGTAGACATGTGCTAACTTGAGTGCAAGGAAAAGCAATACATGGGTAAGAGGGAAGTTTGCAGAAGAGCGATGGGAAGAAGTACAAGAGTTAAGACCAACAGAGGTGTTGTTGTTGTTAAATACTGTTATGTACACAGTCCTGCAATAATGGTGAGCTATAAGTAGATGCAGAGTCCTGGTGTGGTGCGGTATGATAAATTACTGGACTGAAAGATTTTGAATCACAAGGTCAGTGATTCAAACTCAATAGCTGCTCCTATACAGGGTCACTATGAGTTGGCACTGACTCAATGGCACTTAACAACAGTAATAACATGAGTAGATGTATGAAATTGTGTCAGAGAGAAAGTAGGAGTATGCCTGTGATTATATATATATATATATATATTTACCTTTGCTGCAAGTATGTCCATGAATGAGATAGAACATACAGGAGGGTAAAGTTATGAAAACTTCTTAAACATAACCAAAGACCTTGACGGAATGAGTCACTGGATTTGGGGGATCAGGATCACAGTATTCGGGGAAATCATAGTCAATTGGCATAATCATAGCCTACAATGTTCTATATCCTAATTTGATGAGTAGTGACTGGGGTCTTAAAAACTTAATATGCAACGATTCTATCGGTCTCTCCCTGTTCAGAGGAAAGAAGAGTGATGAATGGAGTAATGGCCAATGTGAACATCAGTCCTCATGACTCTGAGGCCAGAGGAACTAGATGGTGCCCAGCTACCACTACCAGCTCCTCTGAAAACAATCTCATTAGAAAGTCCTAGATAAAGTGGGAGAAAAATGTGGAAAAAAACTCAAGGTCATGAAACAGATCCATTGAGCAGAGAGTGGTGGAAACGCAAGACTACAGCCTTTAATCACCCTCCAGGTCTAGAACTGAACTCACCCCCAAGGCTCAATTTACAGTCAAACACTAGATAGACCTATAAGAGGAACAGTAACACTAGTGAGGTATGCACACCTTAGAATAATGAACCATGTGAAATCAAAAGGGCAACATTTATCCAAGGACAATGTTCAGAAGAGTTAGGAAAGGAAACAAGAAACACAGGAAGAAAGTGGAATAAAGTGATGGTATACTGCGGGGATTATAATCAATGAGATGAAACCAAATGTGTATGGAAACTGACCATCTGTTTTGTAAACCTTATCCAATTCATAACAAAAAGTTAAATATTTTTTTTTTTAACAATTCTTACTGAACAAATATTTTTGGATTATGGATATGTTCAAAGCACTCTTCTAGATAACTGAAGAAGAGAAGGATCTGATATACTTTGCAGACTGCAGGCCCCAAACTTGGAGTCTTATCTAAAAAGAGTCACAGTAATTAAAGTAGGGATTAAGGTGCACAGAGAAGAAAACAAATCTTTTTTGCATTATGTTATGTAAAAACAGACTGTAATGTAGGTAACAAGCACTTGTTTGTAGTGTCTTGTGTGCTGTTACGATGCAGGAAGCTATGTCACTGGTATTTTAAGCATCAATAGAGTCACCATTGCAGTGGAGCTATTGGATTAGGATAAAGGCCTGGTGGTACACTTCTGGAAACTCTACAGATCACAGCCGAATATTTTCCAATGTAATACTGAAAGTGAACACCCTAGGTTGGAAAGCAGTAACCGATTCTAGCATGTTGGCAATCATGAGGATGTCATGAGTCAGATATTTCACTGTGGACAGGGGGTTGTCATGAATCAAGGCAGACTTGAAGGCAATGAACAACAAAAGGAGGATCTGGTCTCCATTCTCTACAACCTACTCTGGTAAAGGAAGTCACATATAGAATACAGTCATCCATGAAATCATTCTACCTAGCCAACCAACGTCCAACTACGTGCGCTAAGCTTCATGGACTCCAGCACATCTGGCTCATTCCTGCCTTCAGGCCTCCTGCCTGCAATGCCTCCCCCTGAAATACTCGTTCCTTATCTCTGATTTCTGACTTCTATCTCAAACCTTACTTTTCACATTTAGCCTGTCCATTCTGACCTATCAAGACTGCTCATTTGTTGCCCACTCTTACCATTAGATATTTTAGTTCCTAAATTCTTTATGTAGTATTTCTCATGAGAAATTCTTTCCACCTAATGAATATATATATATATATATATCTTGAAGGCATTTCTCTCAACCCAATAAAAGTACATTTCTGGACTCTCATTCACTCGTTTTTGATACTTCTCCATAGTGGTTAACACAGTATGGAACACATGGGAGAGAGTTAATAAACACAAATAAATATTTTTGCATCAACAGATAGTAGCATGAACATATAGAATGATACACATAAACAAAGAGGATGAACTATATTTGTTGATCAGAATTCTTGAATATAAAAAGTTAAAGTACTGACTTATGTATGCTCTTTATTGGTTTACAGGTAAGAACCCAAGTATCATCATAACATCTCTTGTTTTCTAAGAGAAACAGTTATACTGTTGTACAAGATATGATATATTGTCAGTATCCTATTACACTGACTTTCGTCATAGATGGGTTAAATGTGTTAATTTGCTGTGTATTCTGCTTGTCACAGTACAGAAAGCTACGATGGATGCAGTTCTCTTTGTCTTTTAAAGGACTTTAAATAAGGCAGTATAGTGGTTACGAATTGGGCTGCTAACCTGAAGGTTGGCAGCTCGAAACTACCAGCGGTTCCGTGGGAGAAAGGAGGCATTCTGCTCCTGTAAAGATTTATAGCCTCGGAAACCCTGTACAGGGTCAGTATGAGTCGGAACCAATTCCACGGTACTTAACAACAATAGTTTATAGGCAATAATGAAGCCATTATTTCATCCTCAAGGGGAATTAACATGTAATTTTAAAATCCCCAAGCAACTAAGTGTAGTCACTAATTTATTTTTAAATTTTAATTATATTTTAGTGGTTTGAATTTGATGTTTATGCCCAGACTATCATTTTTTGTATATATAGTTTATATACACTAAACTGTTACTAAAACAAAACTAAATAATCCTTTTTGCTATATGAAAAATTGAAAGTTTTCCTAAACGATTTTTGGAATGATAACAACTAGTATGAAGCAGTTTTCCATTAAATGCTATGAAAATACTTGAATGTTAATTAGATTAATAAGCAAGTACTACTGCCAAATTATTATATTAAATATGAACTGAAGTAAAGCTTCCTCCGGTTTACCTTTAAGTCTTTTAAATACGAAGGGCAATCAAATCTTTTATTATATGTTTGGATTCACATATTTACTTTATTTCATAGCTACTGGAAGAACTTAACGACAGTGTTCAAAGGGGAAAAAATATACGTATTGACTATGATTAGAACACTTTTCATATCTGTTTCACAATACCACTCAAACATGGGCAAAATCTGAGCTCTAAACAATTTTAAAAAAGAAACTCTCAACTTACCTCCAGTAGATGAGAATACCCACAAGTACCACTAGACAGATAAAAGTCAGGGCTGACACGACCACAAGGGGAACCACTGTCTTCTTCTTGGATTCCAAACCCTCAGCTAGACCAATACGAGACTCATGGCTACTATTACTGGCTTCTGTAGTCAGAGAAAATTGAGAGAGTTGATATTTATGCTCCAAATCAGTTAGAACATCTTTCAACTAATTACTTGCAACCTTCCATGTTGTTACTTACCTTAAACATTTTGACTTTCTCATGCAAAGAATGTCTATAGTTACAAGCTAAGCTAGGCAAAAACAATTGTTTAAAGTAAAGCAGGCGATCTCAGCGGAAAGACAAGATCTCAACAAAGAAAGACAGTATCTCAACAAAGGTGCTGTGTGGCAAGAAGTAAGCAATCATCCTGCCTTAAAAAGCTTGCAAAAGGGGAAATGGAAGCATTAAAATAAAAAACTAAACTTTCACTCAATGCAAAATAAAAGCATTTAATAAAACAAAAAAAAACAAAAAAAAAACAAAAAACTACCAAGGTTTCAGCTAAACCGATTAGAAAAGGCAATGTTACTTCTGGAATTGCCACGTATTTTCTTGCTTTTTCTAACATGAATGTTGATGGAGTGATCTTTTAACTCTGCAATTTAAGCTACTAATTTGGAATAGTAATTTCATGAAGACAGATTCTTACGATAACCTTCTAATATTAGGATAACCCTTCAACTGAGCAAACTAATTCCATTTCAAATTCAGTTTGTTTTAAAATGTTATTTTCAATGCTCTTCTTATCAATTGCTTTTTTTTCCTATTAAAAAAATTCCACACACTATTCCATGTTAGGTGAAGAAAACACATAGATCTAAGTTCTTTTCAATTATTAAAATGTAAATAATGAAAAAAAAAATCCAAATTCAGTCTTTGGGCTAATTTTAAAAAATGGTAAATGGCTGTTTTCTCTGACCACTCAGGGACATTACTGTACTAGTACTTTCAAAATCACTGTAACTGAAGCTGTTCTTTAGAGTTGGTTAAAGAGTTTCAGAACCAAGCAGAATCAGCAGTTTCAGAACCAACCCTCTGCTTGGAGGTATGTTCACTGGGAAACTAAGATGACTGGAGATTCAAACTGTTTCTAACTGGATGATATGTTGCCACTGCTAGCAAGTCTGAACTGCTGTCCTGCCTGCCAGCAATAGTTCTAAAAGAATGTCATCTAAGTTGCCCCACAGTCGACGTGGGTTCCAATTACTTGGCACATTGGAGGCACTTATGTGTAGTGGTTACGAATCGGGCTGCGAGCCGCAAGATCAGCAGTTCGAAACTACCAGCTGTTCCGCAGGAGAAAGATGAGGAGTTCTGCTCCCATAAAGATTTACAGCCTCGGAAACCCTGTACAGAGTCGCTATGAGCCGGAACCGACTCCACGACACACAACAACAACAACAATTATTGAATAACTTATTGAAACAAAACAGATCAATTTAATTTTAACTATTTAACAATAAGAAATTTGAAGCTAACATAAATACATGCATATGGCATGAAAGAAGAAAGTGCATCTAATTGCAGAGAAATTATTATTTGAAACCATCACTTACTTTGTAGCCAAGAAAAATTAAGGAAAGGGTCAAGAATTTAACCCACATATTTAAAAAAAATGTGCCTATGAGATATAAATGAAAATCAAATTTCCAAGAAATTTGCCCTTACAATTATGATGTATTTGCTAGAAAACAGTGCATTAAGAATGTATATTCCATGGTTTAAGACTACCAAACTATATGATGGTGTATATTATTTTGTTATTGTATTGTCGAGTCGATTCCGACCCTTAGCGACCCTGTATAGGGTTTCCAAGGAGCAGCTGGTGAGCTTGAACCACCGACCTTGCAGTTCAAACAACTTTGCAGTCTGATGCATTAGCCCACAGCGCCACACCAGGACATAATACAAAGTGATAGTTGGCTTTTCTTAGAAGCAGATCAACTACAGTTCAGAATCAGTTTGATTGCAATATTGTTATTTTAACAGAAAATATTGCAATTTTAATAGAAAATATTAAATGACAATATTACAATTTTAATAGAAAATATAAAATGACAATATTACGATTTTAATAGAAAATAAAAAATGGCAATATTGCAACCGAGCTGATTCTGAGCTGTAGTTGATCTGCTTCTAAGCAAAGCCAAATATCACTTGGTATTATGTTAATCACATGCCCTGGTCCTTGTGCATTACAGAGAAACACATCTGGAGGTTTCAGTTATTTGATAGGCAAATGCACTAAGAATTTCTTTTTGAAATTTAGGAAAGCACCTTATTTTATACATTCATGGTCTTCACATTTTTTCTACTGTAACTATTGTTGACTAAATGGAAAGCCTGAGAAATGAGTGAAACAATCCGCTTAGCACAGTCTCAGGCTCCTAGTAATTAGCAATGCTGATGCATAGCTTCTCAGTCAGCTGCTCTTGAAGTGTGGTTCCCATAAGAGTGGCATAGGCATCACCTGGAGCTTGTTAGAAACGCTAATTGTTGGGCCCCACTTTAGATCTACTGAATCAGGAACTCTGTGGGTGGGGTCAGCAATCTGTGTTTTTACAAGTTCTGAAAGTAATTTTGAGGCATGTTAAAGTTTGAGAATCAATGGTCTATTAATGTGTCTACAAAGTGAGCTTATATGATAACACACATCTTCAATGATCACAAATATTTATAACTATATGTATATAGGTACATCTATAGATATACATGTTTCTTTTACATATGTATGTACCTATATAATGAGTTTCAAATGATCATTTATGCGATATATATTTACTGCATCTACAACATATAAAATACATCATATATACCATATACATCTCACGGACTTCACACACATAATATATGTACACATGTGGTCTTGTCAATGGACTCTTCTTATAGACTCTTTGGGAAGCTTGATTTAAAAAAAACAACAACACAAAACACTCTTTGAGGAATCAGAATAACAATTCCAAGGTAATCAAATACTGTGAAACTTGGGTCTTTTATACATAAGGGATCCTATGTGAAAGTACAGGCAATTAACTGGTTCTTTATATATGATAATGAGGAATAACTAGTTGCATTTATTTTTATTTACTTGAGATGTTTTGTAGTGTGTGTGTATTATCAAAATGATATGACAAGAATCAACTATTAGATGATAAAATAAAAAACTAAGATAAATAATTTTGAGAGCAGTGTAATTTCAGTGTTCAATTTAAGCATTATTTATATATTACCATTCTCAGTCATGGAAACTTTGTCTCTAAAAGAGAGACACCAACAACACATCTCCAGTCTTTGTTTTCCATTTATTCCTTATATAATCTGGGTTGAATAATCTAATATTTTGTTTACTCATTTATAATTACAGTTGCTAATGTTTGCCTTATCTACGTTATTTTGAGGAACACATCTGGTAACTTGCTCCACATTCTAGGAATATTATCATAAATCCTAAATTTTAGAATTAGTCTACATGCACTTGGTAATTAGGTATATTTAATACATTAGATATGATAGATATGATTTTTTACAGATATAGTTTTAAAATCAGGCATGGATTTTTCTCTAATCTTGTTTACATCATTCATTATGTTACTTGATGATGTTGGATGTTATATTCATATTGTTTTCTTCTCACCAGTGGAAAAAATACTCCCTAATAAAGAAACAAATCTAAATGTATTAAGGGATGTCTGGTAGTGTAGGGGGTTATGCAATGGACTGTTAACCACCAGTTAGGCAGTCTGAGTCCACTCTGCAGAAGAAAAATGAAACTTTCTGATCCTGTAGAGGTTTACAGCCTTGGAAACCCTATACAGGGTCACGAGTTGGGGGCGACTCCACGGCACACAACAACAAGAAGAACAAATGTAGTAAAGAGATATTTACTAATTTCAGTCAACAATTCTAGCTTTAGCCTTTTGTAATAGATATAGTCTTTCTATGGAGTTCTGGTGTGACACTATTGGATAAGCACCGGACTGTTAACCATAAGGTTGGCAGTTCAGATACACCATTCACTCCTTGGAAACCCTACACAGGGTCACAATGAGATGGAACTGACTTGATGGTACATAACATAACGTGGTCTTCCTATAATAGTGAATTTTAACAAGAATAAGTTGATAAAACGATAAGCGAAATATGGATTGGCTCTTGATATTTTCCTTTATAATAAAGCTAATAAAATTTAGAAAAAACCACTAACCAAGTACTGTGATGGAGGGCAGGTAACAATTCACATATATGCTCAAACTAATACTCTGAATTCATTGTATGTTTTTACATAATAAGTATTCAAACTGGAATGCAATGATAAATAGGTATCAAGGCAAAATACAGAAAAATCTCTGTATCAAAACGTACCAACTTTTAATTGCTGCTGCACTAAAAGAAAATGAGACAAATTATTCAAGGAACAAAAATAACAAAGAAGCAAAACATCCCTAATGAGACTGACATCTATGTTCTGGGTTATAAATATCCACACTTGTGCAATAAGAGTGCAAAATGTCACATCAGTCTATCTTTTGACCTACTGTCAAGATTTAAATATGTTCATTGCTAATTTAAAAAATACCTTACAATTTAATAAAAGCAAGTTATGGAATTCATAGTATTAAGTAAATGAAATTACACAGTATCACACATGCTTAACGGGATTGAATTTTCCTTTTCTTTCCTTTGGCTTCTAAAGCAAACATCTGTATTATATATGCTTCATGTAAATTGTTCTAAGAAACATCTGGTCAAGAAGTTAATTTACATAAAATACATTAATAAATGAAATGCAGTTCTACAAAAGATGTTCTAGTGTTTTTACATCTTGTCATACAATACCTATGCATACTGTGCATATTAATGCATATTATTTAACTTCTCAGAAAGGAGTATAAAAGCAAATACAAAGTAGAACACATTTTGTTGGTTCATACTGCCCTCTTTAGGCAGTATTAAGGTAATCAAAGAAAGGCAATTTTGATGAAGTAAAACCTTTGTTAGCATGCCATTAGCTTTCAAAACTTAGTGATAGAACTTTATTTTAAAGCCCACAGAGCAGATGTGGTTCTGAAAATTATCTGATTCCTTTCCATGGGATGGGTCAGAGAGTGGTGTTCATACCAAATATCTACCAGATTTTATAACTCAGTAGAATTAGTTTATAACGTACTTCAGCATGCAAGTATGCAAATTAAAATCACCATCTAAAAATAGTACACTCAATTCTTGTCATTTAAAAAAACCGCAGAATAAAAATGCATTATGCACACATGATGGGTCGCACACGCAATAAGCATCTTCTAGAATATGAAATATTGACAATAAATATAAATTACTTTACCTACTTGGGAGAGAATTAAATTAAGGACTAAGACATGCCAAGTATTCATTTAAATAAGATCATCCTTTAAAAACTGTAAAATAATTTGTTGATGTTTTTGATTAAAACAAGTGATATGTGCCCTGTTACCAAATCTCTATCTCTCCATACTTTTCCTACTTTACTTTTAGAAGGAAGAAAACCACCACACCTCAGTCTGTCTCTCTAATCCACAACTAACCTGCCTCTGAAACGTTGAACACTTCTGCGTGTCCACTAGTGACCGATGGTGTTGAGGACTGTGGGGATCCAGGAGTTATCTCTGAGTCACCTCCTTCCAGGACCCCATCAGCATCTCTTTCATTAACATCTGGAAAGCTGAAATCTGTGGAAGTCTCATTATCATTAAGGCTATCTGAGGTACTTGGCCCTGATCCGCTCTCTTCATCACTTGTAAGAACTGCCCACGATTTGGATTCTGGGGTGAAAGGAAGGAGGGCACTACTGGTTTGAAGGTCATTTTCCTCATGTGCATCATTGTGCTTTAGAGGCTGCACATTTGTTGGTGACATTTTGCCAGGACTTCTGTCCATTCCAGGCTGACTGTTTGAGGTTACAACTGCGACTTCATTCTCTTCTTCAGAATTCTCAGAGAATGAATGGGAGTTTGGGGTATCCTGATCCACAAGACTCTTGTCCTGGGTGTCTGAATCATTCAGGCCCTTTTCCTGAGATTCTCTATAGGATGAGCATGACATGCACTTATTTATGGATACGCCATCTCTATCTCTGTCATCATCATCATCATCATCATCATCATCATCATCATCCATATCACCAAAATCACCTCCACCCACTAAATCAGCATCAGAACTGGCATTGTGAGTCAGTTCGGAAGTTGTTTTAGAAGGCCCAAACAAATAGGTTGTTGTTAAAGAACCATCTCTGTTTGGAGAGAAGGCTGCAATGGAAGCCAATCCATTTTCCACAGGAGCAGACGGATCAGCAGATACAAGTATATCCGAAACGACCGTCGGAGAACCAGCAAAGACCTCATCAGGAATAGAACTTTTGGTGGAGGTGAAAACATCATCAGAATATATAAGCTTACTTATAGGTATACTTGGCAAAGCATCGACAGATAAAGCAGGAGTAGCAAAGGCACGCCTTACTTGTGGGGGAAAGGCATGGCTAATCTGCAAATTGGCAGTTTGGAACAACTCATCATTACTGTACAACGGAGGCACCAATTGTGGGGGGTTTTTACTTCTAAGCAAAACTGGTTCAGCAAATTTCTTACTTGCATAAGCAATGGCTACACCTTGGAAAGAAACAGACTGTATACTCGAAGTAGACGATACATCAAAACTTGGCACCGACGTAGAGTGTAGCATATTTTTACTCAAAGCAGAGCTTGATGCCATGAGATGCAATATTGTAGAACTAATTTTTTCAACCTTGGGGCTTTCAACCAATATTGAATCACTAGGCACAGCTGGAAGAGCAGTTTGAAGCAAGGTGTCAACTTCAGAAGCCTGAAAGGGCGCTTGCAGCAATGTTTCAGTGTTAAAGGAAGTTGAGGCATCATAAGGCAAAAGCTGAGCTGAAGGAGATAATATTTCACTAGAAGCGGGACCAGAGTGTGCTGGCTCTGAGGTCGCACTAAGCACAGGTTTAAGCAAGGTGTCACCAAAGTCTTGCGATACAGCACGTGTAGGTTGAACAGTAAATGTATTTTCTAGAGGTTGGCTAATCTCATGATCAAAAACCTTAATGGTGGTAAAAACTAGAGACTCGGGAGGCATACCCTTTGCGCTAGAAACAAAAATAGGAGTTTCTTGTAAAGACGCGTTCAAATTATTTACATTATCATACAGGTCAGGCATGAGTGTGCTTTCAGAATGGTAAACCATTTCACTGAAAGAAGAAATTGGCAGTTCAGTCTCATTTCCATATATGATGTCACTTTTAGGAAGCGGTTTATTATCATCATCAAACACAGATGTTGGATATGTAAATTCAGCTACAGAAACAGGTGAAGAAATGTTAAGGGCTGTCAGCCCATCTGTGTCAGGTAAAGGAGATTCACTACCAGAGGAGGCTCCAGACCACTCCACATCGTCAGAGAGGGCATGGGTGGGCAGCAGCAGTGCTGCAGTTGGGGCTATTAATGAAGACTCAGGCATCAGTACATGGCTAGGGCTGCTAAATAAGGACCCCAGATGAGATACAGCGACAGAATCATGCACAGGTATTGCTGAACTGTGAGAAACCGTGGAGATGTATTGGGAGCCCTCATTATTGAATAAGGCATGAGAAAATTCAGGCCCTGGAGAACGCGCATGCATCAAGACATCAGCACTGCCTGGTTCCACTTGAGAAAACATGAGCGTTTTATAAAGGACACCGGCTTCACTACCAAATCCCAATGTCTCGGAAGCAGCATGAGCGGTAGTTTGATGCGACATCACATCAGAGTATTGAGCAAGGCTGGGTTCTAATACCAAATCACCCCCAGCCACCAGCAGAGATGCATGCGGGGACACCTTATCACTCTCAAGAGCTGAAGTAACTTGCGGAAGGATTTGAGAAGCTGTGTACAGATGGTGAGACAATTCGCTACTGAAGGAAGCAGAGGAAAATGGAAGTAAAGGTGCACCATCATAGGAAGACAGGATGGAGTCAAATGACACATCAACACTGGGAAACATGGGCGTAGCATGCAAGGCCGAATCACTACTTGAAGCAGCAAGGGTAGTGTTGAGGATCTGATTGTCAAGCAACAAAGGGGTGACTAGAGGAAAAACTTCACTACTGTAGGAAGGTTGAGGTGTCTCACCATTGTATACTGGTTGAGTTGTCTGCGAGAGAACCACATTGACAGTGGGGGCCGAATCGTGTTGTCTGGAGGACGGAGTGAAAGCATGAGGCGTTATCTCGGTCGGGAAGTAAGCCAAAGTAGAATAATGTGGCATTTCCATATCTGTGACTGAGGGCAACTGCGATCCCAGGGGTTCCGGAGAAACGGACTCAGTTGTCATTTTAGATTCATCAATATGTGTCTCAGAATAATTAGTCTGGAGAAATCTCTCTTTACCTGATCCCTCCATTGTAACATCGGTTGTTCTAGGGAACCACATATGTCCATCAGTGGAAGGATCCTTTAAAGATTCCTCCAAACCCGATGAGACTGAATCTTCTGAGGCATTTCTCATAGTATCTGGAATCAGGGCTTCCTCTGTGATTGCCTCGGGGTTTTCTGAAGAAAATATATAGCCATGAAACATGTTCTCCGAGATACGTGGAATAGCAGATGCTGTAGGACTGGAGCCTGAAGAATCATCAGTTCCCATATCAAGTTTGAAATGAAGCGATCCACTCTCTTCCTCATTGATATCAGTAGATACCTCAGGTGACTCTGTAATAGAAATCATATTTAAAGATTCCACAGTCCCAGTCAAGTTCTTATGTGGAACTCTAAGAGCAGTTTTAGAGCTGTCATTTAAAGAGGTTGAAGTACCTTCCACTGTATGATGTGGCTGTTGAATCCCAGTTTGTGAAGTCGAGGAAATATCTTTTCCTGGAACAAATTCAGTTACTGTCTGGGAAGTAGAACTGAAAAATGCATTGGGAATATCACCCTTTCCAGAAGATTCAATTCCTCTTGTTGGGGATAGGTTCGTCTCGGCCTCATGGTATTTAGTCCCTATTTGATTGTAGCTTGTTGTGGGAGGAATCGGTGGTTCCTTTTTCCTTATTTGGTTTGTGGCACTGTTTCTACCAGGATTCATAATATCATCTTCTTCAATCTCTTTTCCTTCCTTTGAAAAGCAAACAAAATTTAATGGAACACACAGAAATAAGAGAAAGACTAAGTCTTAGTACTAGTGTCTTATACTGTGTTTTACTTTCAGTCGTCACATTGGAAGATGTTATCTTTTCCTTGCTTATAAACCATGGCCCCATAGAGGCATGCCTCCATCCTGTAACCTCACCATCCACTCTCTAGGGAGAAGAATTACATTTATGAAAACATCTTATTTATGACTGCTTTTATTTTATCACTGTGGAAGGACGTAATTAAATTAATAAGTTTATAAGGAAGACACACTGTAGTTTTATTTACTGAGTATGTAATTTAACATGCTATTTGCCTTTTTGTCTCTATGTTTTTTGTTCAGTTCATCTGGAGGCAAGCTAAACAAAAACAACAAGCAACTGTTTTTGTTAAGTGCTGTCGAGTTGATTCTGACCCATAGAGACCCTGTATAGGGTTTCCAAAGAGCCATTGGTGAGCTTGAACCACCGACCCTGCAGTTCAAATGACTTTGCAGTCTGACACATGAATCCACAGCGCCACACCAGCAATTAGCTTCTTGTAATATGAAATGACAATGAAAACGATTTCAAAGACCAAAGTAGTTCCACATCCAGGCTAAGTAATTTTATATGTTCAGAATAAATCATAATTCCTAAATTATCCTATGGAAAACACTTAAGAAAGTAAGTTTTTTGTTGTTGTTCTTTTGCTTTTAATACTTCCAATTAAGACATAGAGAGATGTTTTAAAGGCAGTCTGTTAAAGTATGATTCTAGTATCACTGCTTTCATTCTGTGTTTCTTTTAAAAACGTCATTCAAGAGCCCTAGGTTTGAATAACAAGGAGTTGAGTGCTGGGATGCTAACCAAAGGGTTGGTGGTTGGACCCATCCAGTGGCTCTGGTGATCAAGATCTGTATTCAACACTTTGTAGCATTGTCATCTATTAGGCCACGTATCTTAAAAGAAGAAAAAAGTGCCCTATTATATTCTTCTTTTTTTTCTTTTCTTTTCTTTTATTGTGTGATAGTATACACGGGGGAACATTAGCTTTACACTCATTCTATCATATATCGTTTCATTGCCATAGTTACCATCCCGTCCATGCATCATCACTCAACCAAAGGTTATACCCCGCAGGTCCCCCTCTCCCCCCACGGTCCTCAGCACACAGCTCCCTTCCCTCCCTGGATCTCAAGCGCTGTCAAATCAGTTCTGACTCATAACATCCCTGTATAGGGTTTCTGAGAAGTGACTAGTGGGTTTGAATCGTCAATCTTGTGGTTAGCAGTCCAAATGACTAGTTGGCTAACATCAGTAGAATGAATCTGAATCTTAAACCGTGTGCTTCTGAACATGGTTAAAATGGCTCTTCTCTTCGATCAATTTCTTCAGTAGTGGTCCATGTTTCCTCACGTAATTATGCATTTTGTTTAATATCTTCTTTGCAAAGACTACCAGAAAGATTTTGCTAAATAATTTCTTGAGTAAAGTATTTCCCTAGTCTGCAAGCTTAAAATATCTCACATAGAAGGATATAATTTGCCCTTGATAGAAAAAAATCGGTGCCCAGATAGGCCTTCTTTCCTTACAAGATCTTACAAACATTTATAATCTTCTCCAGAGTTGTGTTAAGGGTCATTGTTAACTTAGCAGTATGGAGCTTCTGAAATCTTCATCATTTCAAAAATCTCTGGATGTACGTCTAGCTTTCTGTCACCACTCCACACTTAAACTTTTTTCTGCTCTCTTTTTCTTCCCTCATTTTCAGCAGATGACCTTCATTTTTACGAAGAGAGAAAACAGAAGCCACCAGACAAAACCACACCTTTGCCCAACATTAAACCGAATCTACCCTGGCCTCTTTTGTCCTCTTGTAACTGAAGAGTTGTTGTTTTCCCTCCTTTCCAAGGTTAAATTTTATATTTCCGCATTAAATTTACTTAAAATTATGTTCTTAGGAACTGAAGAAAATTGAATATTTTCTTCTCTTTCATGTTTTTAATGTTGTTTTCTCAAATGGACCATTCTCATCAGCTTAAATGAACTAATGTCTCTCCTATCTGGAGTCCAGGTGTGGTGCTGTGGGTTAATGCGCTGGACTGCAAGATCGATTTGAGCCACAAGGCTGGTGGTTCAAGCTCACCAGCTGCTCCTCAGAAATCCTATGCAGAGCCACTATGGGTCAGAACCAACTTGATGGCACTTAACAACAACAACAACAGCTCTCCTATTTAAAAGGAAAATAAAGAAAAAAACATCTAATTCAACTTTCTGCTGTAATTATAACATCTCTTCCTACCTTCGCTGCTAATGTTCTGAAAAGACATACCACAGGTTTTTTCTTTAATGAGTTCCACAATATTACTTTCCTTCCTCTTTGCTTTTATTTTCACATGAGCATTTGATGTTAAAGTTCCGTCGAGTAGATTCCAACCCACATTAAGAAACAGAGTCCTGGTGTGGCGCTGTGGGCTAATGCGTCAGACAGCAAAGTCGGTCGAACTACAAGGTCGGTGGTTCAAGCTCACCAGCTATCCCTTGGAAACCCTATACAGGGTTGCTATGGGTCGGAATTGACTCGATGACACTTAACAGCAACAACATTAAGAAACCTTCCATGAATTAATCCTACCACATATTTTGAGTCTGAAAACTGTGAGGCAATAAGTGAATCTTTCCCGAAGCTGCTCTCATGGCACTTACGGTGGCACTAGGTCACTACGGTAGAATTTGGTACCAGAGTAGGGCTGCTGCTCTAACAAACACCTAAAACATGGAAGAGGTTTTTAAACTGTGTGATTAGTAGAGGCTGTACTTGGACTTGACAGTAAGAGGCCACACTGCTTTGAAAAGACTTGGTAGAATTCACGGAAGTTCTGATAAGGGCTCAGGAAGAACTGAGCAATCTTAAAAAGAAAGCTTATGTTGTCATTAACAGAACATTACTAGAAGTGTGGGCAGTAAAAAGAAATGATGAATATGACCATGAACACCGGAGGCAAGAGATCCCTTGTTTTAAAGTCGCAACAAATTTTTATGAACTATGTTATTGGTTTTGTGGAAAGTAGAACTTGTAAGTGATGAATTTGGATATTTGGCTAAAGAGAATTCTACGCAAAATGTTAGAGTTTTGAGGCTTATACTAAAATTCAGGAAGAAAAGGTTATATTGAGAAATGAACAGTACATTTGGGTCTAAAATATAATTAACATTAGATTATTTTCTATTTAAAAAATTAAGATGTTAAAAATTGTAGTTGTTGGTGGTGAGTGTCATCCAGTCGGTTCCAAAGCACAGTGACCCTGTATATTGTTTCCAAGGAGTGACTGGTGGTTTTGAACTGCTGACCTTGTGGTTCACAGCCTAGTGCTGATCCTATAATCCCATACCAAAAATACCCATTTACTTTGCTGACACTGTGGCAGAAGTTGACACTTATAATATAAATAGCATCATCTAAACCAATGAAAAAGTTTTATATGTTAAAGAATGAATATATTTATATTTGGCTTACATTCATCACCAATTTTTAATCACTGGTTGTTATTTATAAATAACCTAGAAATATTAAGAATTGGTCAAATATTATTTTAGTCCTTAGAAAAGTTAAGCATTGAAAAGCCTAATTTATAGCTATAGCTCCTAGCTATAATTATTTTTAAAGTTGTTTTACTGTCACTGTCTCTTTTAAAACTCTTTTTATTATTTTGTACTATACTAATCAAAGTGTCTTCCAACTTTTCCACAAAATACTCATGTATTTACATTCCTTAACTACCCATAAAGCTCAGCAACCCACCCCACCAACACTGAACAATTCAACAACATCTGAATCCCAACTGATTATTTTAAATACTTTTCAAAAACATTTCAAAGTTCTGAATATATCATTATACCTTGATTATTTCTTCCGTTCCAATCAATTCAGGAAAGAGGTCAAGTTCTGCAAAATTAAAAACAAAATCATTAACCTTTTCTTTTTTTTTTTTTAAATTCAATACTTCAGTCTATGGGTTTACCTTCAGATGAAATGAGGAAAAAAGAAAATAAAAATGGTTAGTATTATAAATAGAGAACATGTCAAAGTGAAAATTTCAAGTTTTAGCTTTCAGTACAACTGAGATTGGGTATTGCACCATATATACCCAATATGTAATGGTTTTCAAAATCTTCAATTTCCTCCTCTACCCCACCTCCTTTTCTTACTCCCATACCATGTTTAAGAAGGGAGAGGGGACACTGAGGTTGAAATCAGTGAATGTGAAGAAACCCAAATTATAACTTTTCCATCAGTGCAGGTACGTTTACCCTAAACAGGACGTTAAAAAAAAAAAAAAAAAAAAGGCAAAGCTGGGGAAATACCAGGGATTTTCTGCAGATTCAGGGCTCCATTTTTTCTTTTTTTTTTTTTAATTCAGTTACCTCTTTCTATTCTGAGGAAAAAAATATTCTTTGTATTCTTTTGCTATGTTTGTCTAAGGTGTTGGACCTGGTCAAATGGAAAGTGTCTGGGTCCCTTCCGGGAGGCCCCAGCCTAGGCTAGCACTGGGAAGGGCTGAGCACAGGGATCCCAAAACATTCTTCCCAGAGAACTGAGGCAATGCTGTCTATGTAAAGAAGAGGATGACCAGAATCATTCAAATTTAGCTTCCCTATCACACCAGAATCAATACGTTTCTATCCCTAGATATCACAGTCCTAAAGCAAGACCTGTCAGGAAATGTTACGAAAGGCGATGACTTGGACGCCTCTTTCTGACAAGGATCTAAGCCACACTGCCAGATGTCTGAGGAGCCAGGGGAGAATTTTCCCTCAGTCATTATTTGAGCTGACTAGATCACTGGAAAGGAGCTGTGATAGTGTAGTGGATTACTACTAGCTGGACTTAACCACACAGTCAAAAGTTCAAATCTACCAGCGCTCCACAGGAGAAAGATGAAGCTTTCTGCTCTTATAAAGATTTACAGCCTTGGAAAGCCCTAATACAGATCCATTATGAGTTATAACCGGCTCGGTAACACACAACCACCACCACCACCAAGTCTTTGGGAAGCTGGTAGGATTTGAACCTTATAATGATATTCCTTTTATTCCTATACTTCTATAGAATCTTATTCCATCTATAGGTTTTCTGCTCCTGTGAAGATGTAACGCCACGGAAGCCCTATACAGGGTTGATATGAGTCAGAACGGACTCGATGTCACTTAACAACAACAACTTCATCTGCAAACTTCATGGTCTTCACTGTTGCAATGATGCTTTCCCCATATCCCCAAAGGAAATGAAATTCTCTAAAAATGTCAAAGGCATAACTGACTACCATTAAAGATTTATCAAACCTTAGGCTGCTTTCAATGCAGACAAAGTTACTTAGGGTTATTATTTTATCAGAAAATTGATGGATATTAAGCAATGTAAGACCATAAATAAAGTTACATGCATGAATTCAATTTAAAATTAAAATAACATTTATAAGTCTACCTGACCACTGGGAAGATTTAGATAAAGTTAATGCTTTTGATGACTTAACTGTTTCAATATTTTTTACCTTTTTACTTCCATAAAAAGAAAATATTAACTAGAAACAATTATGATCTTCAATTATAACTCTCAGTCATTTTTTCTTATTAAAACTGACCAGGAAGGAGTTTGGAAATGTTTATTTGGATGATCAGTACCCACTTTTCTACTTTCCCCTTATGAAAGCCCCCTTTCACCTCTGCTTTTCATACTTTCAAAATTGTTGTTTCCATATTAAAGTAATTTTAGTGTCTCAAATACTTACACTTCTATAATGGCTAAATACATGTGATATTAAAAATGAGATGTCTCTAAACTCTGACAAAGAAGAACCTTTAATAGGATATTATAAATACTGCAATTAGAGAGATTCAAGCATGTAACATTCTTCAAAGGCAGCATTTGAAACACTTAGGTTTATTGGAAATGTTTCTAAATTTTTACATACTTAAAAAATACTTAAATGCTAATATTAGGACATTTTATTAGTGGCAAGTCACAATCAATTACTTTGTTGTTGTTAAGTGCCGTCGAGTTGATTCTGACTCATAGCGACCCTGTATTGGGTTTCCAAGGAGCAGCTGGTGAGCTTGAACCACCGACCTTGCAGTTCAAACGACTTTGCATTCTGACTCATTAGCCCACAGCAAAAAGCAAAACTTAACAGTAATAGCCTGCTCTCTTCACCATGGTTTGGGAGGTATTGTAAAATAAAACCATTGTTCAATCTTCACCGTACTTTTAATATGAAAGGGGTTTCTCTTATCCAATTGCCAGTTTGGGTGAGGTATGTATAATCTTCATATTAATGACTGATTTCCTTTTCTGCTAATATTCTCAGTGTGTATTGTTTATTTTTACCCTCTTACCAGTTCTGGTGTAGTGCCCTAGGATAAGCACTCGACTACAAAGTCAGGTGGTTCAAATTCACCAGCAGCTCCTCAGAAACCCAATGCAGGGTCGTTATGAGTTGGAATTGATTCCATGGCACAACCAGAGCATAAACTTCGGTTACATTAAAATACATAATCATAACTCCCAAAGTACACCAAAGAATTCTACTATAACCCGCTTCACTGTTCACTGCAATGTTCTATTTGTACTCCTTTTAAGCCTGAGTGGTAGCATTGGTGGGCCCAGGCATGTTTTGAGACCCTCTTTTTTCACGGCACTCTTATGGGTCATTATGCAACCTGTGAGTGCCTTTGTATTGGTACCAACCTACTTTCTAGGATCTTCCTTCCGGTTGTTTACTGTACTCAGATCATTTGAATAGGCTAGAATTTTGTGATTTCCCAGGAACACTTTAAAATCCTCTCAGTAAAATATTCTAGAATTTTTTTACTGAGTCTCTTCAGAATTATTTTGAAATATAATATACTTTGGGAAATTTTCTATGTTTCTAGAGATTCTGAAGGTGTATTTTTGGTTCTGAAAATCTAAAATCAATACATTTATGGGTAGTTCTGTTGGCTGACAGAAAGTCCTCTACTGGGTCTACCATTTCCTCCTAACTGTGGTGTTTAAGTAGCTGCCGGTCTGATTAGGCCCTACGTCTATTTAAATAGTTTAAAAATTATACCGGTCTATAACATATTCTCATTTCAGTAAAACATACTTCACGAAGGCTTCAAAAAAGTCTAGCTGGTAGTGAAGCTCGTCAACATCTTAGAAAAAAATACTGTGTGTGTGTGTGAATTCCTTAATATTCACATTTGTGTGATCGCAGCACAAAGGCTGTTGGCTCAAGCTGGTTTTGTTTTGGGGTACACATAATAGTCGACTTTCTGAAATGACACATTAGTAACACATTAATATTCCATAACACAAAAAAGCAACACTGATGAAGGTTGACAAGCCAAGCTTATTTAATTGTTTGATGGTAAGTCAAGTTTCACAGGGCAACATATAAATGCAAAGCCAACTGCAATCACTTCAAACTTGGTCTTCAATATCATTACATAATCACACCGAAAGCATAGGACAATACAGGCAGAGAAAGGAGAGATGTGAAGTGATTTCACAAAGACAACTGTTATACAAATGAAAACCACAGAATGACAGGCACATGTGTTGATCTAATTCACCATGCATTTAATTAGCAATGCCCTAAACATGAATTTAAATCACGTCTTGGGTAACTACACAACAATCTCTACCCAACCAAAATGAATGCAATTATCTAAGTTTCAACATATTTATGAATCCTTTATTCATAAATATATTTCTCTACAAACTCTTTTGAAAAAATATACATTTCTTCTTAATAAGATTTCTTCGACAAATTTAAAAGGTTTCAGAATATAATTTTTTTCCTTTATTTAAAAATAAGTGTTTAAAATAATACCTCCTGGACATCAGTTCACAGTGATACTATTGCACATAACAGCACTTGTATTGGTAAGCAGAAAATTAATCAAATTAACCCAAGTTAAATGTACAACTTGGAAGACTGAGTTTTCCATCACAGATCTTGGAATCTCTGAATATTTGAACTTTATGATAGAAATACTGAGGACATTTGTAAATTATCTCTGTCTTTTGTTTTAACAGAATCAATAGCAACAATACAACATTTAGAAAACAAACTATACTAAGTAACAATAAATAATAAAATGAACTATACTACAGTTCTAAGGTAATGAAACAATATGATTAACAGAATGAAATGGGACCAATAGTAAAAATCATGATAAGCAGCAGACTCAAAAGCCACTTACATCAATACTAGGGATGTAAATCATAAAATTCACAAATCTTTTCAACATCATCACTCCAAACCACAAAATAGCTGGGAAGACTTTTATAGCTTTACCACAGTAAAAGTCTTACCAGTTGGTTAGACACATTACTGTGTCATAGTTACCATAGAGATGATATTTATGATATGTTGTTGCTAAGTGATGTTGAGTTGGTTCTGACTCATAGTGACCCTGTAAAGGTTTCCGAGGAGCAGCTGGTGGATTTGAACTGTCAACCTTGTGGTTTGCAGCTCAGTGCTAATCCAACAGCACCATACCAGGAGTCCATTTATGATAATATTGAGTTGAAATGCTACTGTAGCCTTTGAGATCAGAAATAATAAGTTCTAAAATGACTACTATTTTGTTTATAAAGAATGAGAAGACAATTTTTGGTTAAATTAGCTTTTGAAGAGGGAATTTTTGGTAGAAAGAATCAAGGTATAATCTATCTAAAACTTGTTTTTTTTTTTTTAACTCTTGGGTTTTGCTAGGTATATAATACCGAACCATTAAACCAAATACCATTTTTTACTAGGAAATTATTGCTGTACAAAATGTTTTAAGGGACTCAGCTATCCACGGAGATTAACGATTTGTCCAAACTAGCATCTTAGTGTACATTGGTCAGTAGTGTCCCAATCCTTTGAATAAATAATAGAAATTAAGTTATTTATTATTTTGAACAAATGTGAAATTACTACAAATGATACAAACTCTTCTACTTTGTGTCAAGTACAGACTCAGTCTAAAAGGATCACTCAGAAATCACTGCTGTAGAAGACATTTGATCTCACTTTACATATGCAATAAGCTTTAAAAAAGAACAAAACAATATGCATAACCAAGAGCATAAGAGAATGATCTAAAACTCAATTGCTAAATTTCTGGGAAAATATTTTATAGAAATGGGAATAATATGAATAAATCCAGAACAGTAAAATTAAGAGAGTATGTTCAATATAGTTTATATCCTTAAATACACACATAAGGGTAGCAAATATTTTTATATGTCACAATTGTAATCAAATCACATCTGATATTAGCCAACATGGTCAGTACTGCACTGCTACCGATGTTATTTTTTTAATGGATCAATATGGAAAATTTGGGTATGGGTTGATGACTTTCAGTGGAAAAGCCTGAGAAAATATGGTTATAATGATGAACAGTTAATTCAATGTTCATCTTTTAATAAGGGTGAGAATGAAAATTCCACTTAAAAGTAACACAGGAAAGATGGTCATATGTATACGTAAACTATATGGAAGTCATAAGAATTATTAAGTAATGATATTGTTATCATGACAGTAGTAATAATCATTAGCCATCAACTTTTTAACTTGGGAGACATCTTGGGAAGTTTTAAAGGCTGTGGTTTGGAAGGATATATATTCTCACATCTAACATCTCATGCTCTGATGGATACATTCTCTAACTTAAAGGTTCAAGTAGTTAGAACAACTGTGGAGATGCGATCAACAATAATATAAGCATTTAGACCACAAATGCAAACCAGTGCCCGTTGGTTGTCTTTCCATATAAAAAACTGTAATATTCTAAAATTGGTATAATTGATGACCCTTCATTTGAACTACAAGCTTGTAAATATTTCAATAGATAGTATCACATTGGGAATGATCAAATGATATCTTACATTGATCTCTGTGTTTACATATGTCTGTAAGCATATGCTTTGTTGTTGCTCAGTACTCTCTAGTCAGTGCTGACTCATAGTGACCCTGTATAGGGTTCCCAAGGATTAGCTGGTGAGCTCGAACTGCTGACTTTGTGGTTCAAACTGACCCTTCTGTCCAGTGCATCAACCTACATTGCCACACCAGGCTCTTGTATATATATATACCTGCATATACACACTACTTTCATACTATTAGGGTAAAACTATGTATATCAACAAAAATAAACCGTGATTCAATTACATAATCTGTCTAATTATGATGGCCAACATCTTACTTTCTCAACAGACCGCAAAGGAAATCAATTATTGCATATGGTTGAGATCAAAATATTTTCCCATGATGCTTAGAAAAGATACATGCAAATAAAATAGGAAAAATTGTGTGTATGCATGAATTGGTATTGACTAATCAAGTAGAAGTAAAATTCCCCAAATTATAGAGTAGATAAAGGTATTTCAGGTAAACTGTTGAGATGCTTGGCATAGACATTTCAAAGTACTCTCACATGATACTTGAGTCATGCATATACTTACTACAAAATGTTTTGGGGCCTGAAAAGAAAGAGCATTAATGAAACCAACTCTGAATTGTTTAAAGTAAAAGTCTCATTACATAGTAGATTTAATTTGGTGACCATTACAAACATTATAAATAGGTTTTTCTGTTCTGATCTATAAATACAAATTTCAATATTAAGAATCAATTTACTTATTGTACTGCACCAGATAGGTCGAAGAAGAATGTGCTCCTTATATCGCACAATTACCTGGCAATCCAAACTTAAGGGAAAATCATTTTGCCTTGTGGCCAAAAGAATATAAAGTCAGAGTGAAGGTCCCAGTGCATTTGATAATGGAAGTAGTCTCATTTGTTTAGATAATATGGAAGGTTATTAGGAGGACGCTTACCAAGGTCATCAGAGGGCATGTCGACAATCAGTTGGTCGCTGTATTTTCCATATAAACCATTACTGCATATGGCTACTATTTGAAGAACGTAGCTCATATTGGGCAGTAAATTATTAAGAATAGCACCCTAAAAGAAAGATGTTAGCAATTACACAAATGCTTTATTCTCATAGTGGTTCTAACATGTTAGACACATCAGCTCTTAAAGGAAAATGTTTTGCTCATTTGCCAATGAAAATATTTACATTTTATTAACCTAAGAAAAAGTCTCCACGATGTAAAGTTGAGCTTGTGTTATTTCTCAGCTACAAAGATACTAAAAAATTTAGCTTCTTATCTTTTGTTTTTTCATACAATTCAGTTTTTAAAAAATGTACTCTTAACTAGAACTCATTAAGTTCATAAATGAGTAGTGCAAACAATAACTTAATGTTTTATGCAAAATAAATGTGCAGCATTTGCAAAAATGAAGCACAGTATGAAAAACACACTCAAAACTCAATTTGTTTTCTATATCCTGACATGACGTAAGATAGGAAGATTCTTGACTATAACTATGAAATAAAAACTATTACACAAGAAGGCTTCAAAAAGTTTGTGGGAAATTTTCATTATCTTTTAATTCCATTTTTCCCACAAACTATATGAAGACCCCACATACATTTAAAAGTTCCACAACCTTGTGAGCTCAGACTGATTCTATATCCTTCTAAGACAAGTGAATAAAAAAGCTGTTAAAAATGTTGGCCTATTTCGTTCATGTGCACTTAAATACCACAGTGATGACAGATTTTATTTAAACCCAGGCTCCTAGAACTTGTTGGTCAGTTTGTCCTTCTGCAGTGGCTTGTGTGTGGTTGTGATGTGGGGAAACTCTGTCACTGGTATTTTAAAGACCAGCAGGGTCGGTCACCCATTATGAGCAGATTTTAACAGAGCTTTCAGATAAAGTCTTGACTAGGAAAAAGGAGGCGCCCTGATGTGGCACTTTGGGTTAATATGCTGGACTGCAAGATTGGTTTGAACTACAAGATCAGTGGTTCAATTTCACCAGATGCTCCTTGGAAACCCTACATAGGGTCACTATGAGTCTGAGCTGATTTCAGCACCTAACAACAGTAAGAGCAGGAAGAAAAACAGGCAGACCAGTTCTGAAAGGTTAGTCATTGAAAACCTTATGACTAGCAGTGGAACATTGTCTAACATAGTGCCAGAAGATAAGTCCTCATGTTGGAAGGCCCTCAAAATACCACTAGGGAAGAGCAGCCTCCTCAAAGCAGAGTTGACCTTAATGATGTGCTTTGTTTTGTGGAAGTTCAAAATGAGAAGAAACAGCTACATACATCTATTAAAACTTGAAATGTGGAATGTACCAAACATAAATCTAGGAATAATGGAAGTCATTAAAAATAAAATGCTATGCATAAATAACAATAGCTTAGGCATTAATGTCAGTTTGTTGTACTGTGGTGTATGAGTTGCTGTGATTCTGGAAGCTATGCCACAGGTATTTTAAATACCAGCACGGTCACCCATGGTGGGCAGGTTTCAGATGAGCTTCCAGATGAAGACAGACTAGAGTTGACCGTGATGACGTGAATGGGCCCATGAGAAAAGCCCGCGGGACCTTCATTTGTTGATGGGGCACAACTCAAAATGAAGAGAAACAGCTGTAAACATCCACTGAAAATCAGAACATGGAATGTATTAAGTATGAATCTGGGAAAATTGGAAGTTGTCAAAAATGAAATGGAACGTATAAACATCAATATCTTAGGCATTAGTGAGTTGAAATGGACTGGTATTGCCCATTTTGAATTGGACAATCACATGGTTTACTATGCCGGAAATGACAAATTGAAGAGGAATGGTGTTGCATTCATTGTCAAAAAGATCATATCCAGATCAGTCATGAGGTACAATGCTGTCTGTAATAGGATAATATCCATGCGCCCACAGGGAAACCCAGTTAATACCACTATTA